TATATTAAATGCAATTATTTCAACGTTATCAACTAATATAAATTATTTTTAACCACTTAAGTGGGACTTGAGTAAATCTTCATGTATAATTTCATAATTCTATTAATTTTAATAGAGTGTTTACATGTGCTTTAGTATGTTAGTCAACACATCAAAACAAGTGTATAACAAAGCATGACAAAAGTTTATTAAAATAATGATTTAAAAATTACTTTAATGTAAAACGATTTTTTTAAAATTATTTAAGAACACTTAAGTAACCTTTTATTTCATTAATATTATATTGTCTGCAGGTACAGTTTAAAAAATATATACATTTGAAGTGTACTTTCATGTAAAAGCTTTTATTTAACATTATTTAAAAGTGTACTTAAGTGTGTTAAGAAAAAGTCATGAAAAACATTGGTAACTTTATTTTAAGGTGTCCTTGTTACACATGTTACATGTACTTACTATTATAATAACAATTAATTATGCATAATTACATGCAAGTAACCCTAAGCCAAACCCTAATCCTAACCCTAACTATATAATAAATACATGTAGTTAATTAATATTACTCAGTACTTATATCTATAATTACACTGTAACAAGGACACCTTAAAATAGTGTAACCAAAACTTTTTATGTACACTTAAGTAACCTTTAATTTCATAATTTGTATGCTTTTTATATGACATTATTTAAAAGTGTACTTAAGTGTGCTAAGAAACAGTCATGAAACTTTATGTACACTTAAGTAACCTTTAATCTCATCAATTTTATGTTTTTTTTTAATTTGACTGTTTAAAAGTGTACTTAAGTGTGCTAAGAAACAGTCATGGAAAACTCTATAAGTGCACTTAATTAACCTGTTATTTCTTTGATATTTTATTTTCTGCTGGTAGTTTTTAAAAAATATATGATTTAAAATGTACTTTAAAGTAAAACTTTTAAAATTACATCATTTAAAATGTACTTAAGTCTGAAAGCAGTCTTTTTAAGTACACATAAGTAACATTTCATTTCATTAATATTACATTGTCTGCAAGTATATTTAAAACATTAAAATCTAAATGTGTAACGAAACAGCCATGAAATAAATTTTAATGTACACATAAGCAACCTTTTACTTAATTAATAGTGTCTGCATTTACAGTTTTTTACTACTGTATACCATGTAAAATTTACTAAAATAATAAATGTTGTGTTACTTGAAAGTACTTTAAATACACTTAAAGTAACATTTTAGTAAAATTTTACATCGTCTATATTATATTGTTGTTTTTTATATACTTTTTAAAATTATTTTTCACATGGGCATCATGTTTCTGTGTTTTTTCCTTTTATTTATATTCATAATAAAATATTTGAAGCCATATTTGAAGTAGTTGTAAAGCCATTGGAGTGTCACTTATTTCAGTCACATCTTGGGACACTAGAAATAACACTTTGCAGCTTTAAAGGGTTAACAACACTCTATAACTGTGGCTTGTACTGTATTTTGTCCCAGCATGGGGTTAATGGATTGTAAATGATTTTCCTCCTTGGAGGCCTTTAATTTGTCACAGTTCTCACAGTTGGAGAATGGCTGTGCTGTGTTTGTGAAAGTTCGCTGGCGAGTGTTGTTCCCCATCAGGAGTATTTTTAGCATGTGAATGATGATGTATCCGTGCGAATCCACTGACCAACTGCAGATGAGAGTCAACGATTGGGCTGCTGTCCGACTTCAGCATCAGAGAGACAGGGGTTGCTGTGGAGCCTGATCATTCCTGGCTGAGGCCTGAACACACACACACACACACACACACACACTGCTGCCACGTCAGAACAAACATGCAGCTTTATAAGCTGTGAATGCATGAACAAGCAACATTACGCAACTTAAAAACCCCACAAAAGAGTTGGGCTTTTTTTCCCAGATTGACGAATTGTCAAAGTCAGATCGCCTGCATGCAGTGCAATATCCAGTCTACAAAATCATGTTTAAAATGTGCAGGACTGATGATGATTTGTACACTTTTACTGTATTGGTCTGGTTTTGCTGTTTTTACTCGGGTTGTGGTTTCAAACCTTTGAAAGATAGTCAGAGTTTGTTTGAAGCGATTAAGCAGAAGTGTGTGTTTTGATTTGTTTTCTGTCATATTACTTTTTGAAAGCAATTAGATTTTGCTCTAAACTGTTTGTGTACAATCGTTCGCAAATTTTATTTATTTATTTATTCCACTGCAGTCTGTTATTGTAGTATAACTGGGTTTAGATACAGTATAACCACAGTTCACTTAGTGTTTTAGGATTAGTCACTTTACATATTGGTCAGGCGGTCTCTTTCTGTTCCTTCTGCTCCAGAACAAGTTTCATTAAAAACAGATGTTGTGGCTGATAATGGGCTGAGACATATTGAAATTCATTCATTCTCTCAAAGTTATGAATGAACGTTCTCCCAGTAATGTTTATAATAGACTTGTATCTGGTCTTTACGTTAGAACAAAAAACAAAAAGACCTGGACGTTCATAAGTAATGTTTTCATAACGCTACAGGATCGTTAAAATAAGTTGTTAGAACATATTTGTGTTAGCTGGGTTGCTCCCAGCACTGCAGTTGAGATTCTTAACGTCATCTGTCTCTCTCTATGTTAATTTGTTCTTGCTGAAATTTCTAATTAAGATGAGTTAAGCCCAGCAGAGTCGTGATGGTCCCGCCGGAATATGGACACACACCTGTGTGTGTGTGTGTGTGTGTGTGTGTGTGTGTGTGTGTGCGTTTGCGTGTATTTGCATGTGTGCGTGTGTGTGTGTGTTAGTGTGTGCACGTATGTGTGTGTGTGTGTGTGTCTGTGTGTGAGTGTGTGTGTGCGTATGTGTTTGTTTGTGTGCTAGTGTGTGCACGTATGTGTGTGTGTGTGTGTCTGTGTGTGAGTTTGTGAGTGTGTGTGTGTGTGTGCGTATGTGTTTGTGTGAGTGTGTATGTGTTTGTTTGTGTTTGTGTGCTTGTGTGTGCACGTATGTGTGTGTGTGTGTGTATGTGTTTGTTTGTGTTTGTGTGATAGTGTGTGCACGTATGTGTGTGTGTGTGTGTGTCTGTGTGTGAGTGTGTGTGTGTGTGCGCGCGCGCACGTTTTTGTGACAAATGAGGACAGGCATTTGTATAATGACAAAGGTATGACATGGGTATTACAAGGAGAAGGTGACTTTTCAGGACATTACCCCATGTCCCCACTTTTCAAAACGCTTTTAACTCACTCAGATTGGAGTGTATTGAAAATCTGAAATAGCACAAAGTTTCCTGTAAGGGGTAGGTTTAGGGGTAGGGTTGGTGTAGGGCAATAGAATATATGGTCTGTACAGTATAAAAGTTTGTCAGTGTTAATTTTGACAGCAAATTTTGATTTAGTTTTAGTCATAGTCTTTTGACTAAAATGCCATTTAATCATATTTTAGTCATATGAATTGTTTTTAGTTTTAGTCAACTAAATATCACAAGATTTTAGTCGAGCTTTGTTATAAACAACAGTATGTAAATCAGTTCAATATAGTAGTAAGGTTTATGATTGAACTTAGAAATTTCATAGAAATTATGAGAAGAACAGTGCATTTAAAGTCAAGTTATTTAAAAATTATTAATGATTTTTGTCCTTGATTTTTGCACTATGGATTGCATATTTATCCACTATAGCAAGTAGGTGGCGCTATCTCCAATTTGTAACTTAAAGGGATAGTTCACCCAAAAATGAAAATGTGATGTTTATCTGCTTACCCCCAGGGCATCCAAGATGTAGGTGACTTTGTTTCTTCAGTAGAACACAAACAAAGATGTTTAACTCAAGCCGTTGCCGTCTGTCAGTCATATAATGGAGGTGAATGGGAATCACGGCTTTGAGAGTCAAAAAAACACCCAAACAAATCCAAATTAAACCCTACGTCTCGTGACGATACATTGATGTGAAAAGACACAAAACGATCTGTCTGTGCAAGAAACTGAACAGTATTTATATCGTTTTTTACCTCTGATTCACCGCAATGTCAGAACTGTGCTGAGCGCATTCGCGTCTTCTTCTTCTTCTTGCTTTACGGCGGATCGCAGACGATCATGCGTGCAGGTGCATTACCGCCACCTATCTCTCAAATGGACCATTGACACTCTATCTACAATCTCAATTGGGAGTGTCAATGGTCTATTTGAGAGATGGACGTGAAGGCGCTCAGGACAGTTCAGACATTGCGGTTGCGGTTTAATTTGGTTTTGTTTGTGTATGTTTTTTGGCTCTCAAAGCTATGATTCCCATCCACTTACACTATATGACTGACAGACTGCAACGGTTTGAGTTAAAAATCTCCGTTTGTGTTCTACTGAAGAAACAAGTCACCTACATCTTGGATGCCCTGGGGGTAAGCAGATAAATATCAGATTTTTATTTTTGGATGAACTATCCCTTTAATAACTTTTAAGTTTTTATGTATTGAATTTGATGTTTTTAACATTTTAAATAATTTTACTAGCAAAGCCTAAAGATGATCTGATACATATTCATAAACGATCAGATTAAACAGTTTGATGAGTTTGAAAAAAAAGTTAATTTTCAACAAAGTTTGACAGAATTTGAGTTCATTATTATGCAACAAAGTCACAAAATAGTGTTAATTTACCGGTTTAGTGTTTGAGAATTACACTGCAATCCTTGTATGTGTATTATTTCCTCTCAGAAATGCTTAGATATTTTGTGCTGTCAAAGAAAACAATGTGTGAAACTGTTTTTACAGCATCGGCATCAGCATTTGCTGCAGTGTAACGAACACGACAAACGCTTTTTAAAAAAATGTTTTTGAAAGAAGTCTCTTCTGCGGACCAAGGATGCATTTATTTGATAAAAAACAGTGAAATATTATTAGCGTTTAAAACAGCTGCTTTCTATGTAAATATCTGTTAAACTGTCATTTATTTCTGTGATGCGAATCATTCTAATATGCCGATCTGCTGCTCAAGAAACATTTCTGATTATTAACAATGCTGAAAACAGTTGACGGATATGTTTGGTTGAAATCATTATATATTTAGTATGCTGTATTATTTGATAGATAGAAATTTCAAAAGAAGAGCAATTTCTTAAATAGAAATCTTTTGCAACATTATAAATGTCTTTACTGTCACTTTTGATCAATTGAATGCATCCCTGCTAAATAAAAATATAAAAATATAAATTTCTTTAAAAAAAAGGCCCCAAATGTTTGAATGATAGTGTAGCATTTAATGATTCAAACCTAGCGTTCTGATTAAGTCAAACAAAAGATACATATTTTATTCCTAAACTATCTCCAACT